TCACTAATCACACGATACATTTTTAGGTGTTAAAGATGATAAAAGCAAAGCTTGTGTTTGTCTTTATACTGTTCCTTCTCAAGCACAAAGTCACCTACGCTACGATGTGGCAGACTCGAGGATATTCAGAGCTTGACGTGTACTTGCAAGGATTCTCTCTTGAATCCTCCAAGGTAGAAACAATCTTTGAATGTTATAAAAAGTGTGAGGACAACATACATTGTGCAAGCATCAACATGAACCTGAYGAACAAGACATGTGAACTGAAGTACTCTACCAAGACYAGACACCCAGAGAAGATTGTTAGCCAACAAAACACCATCTACATGGAGATACGAGATGCTCTCGGGTTTTCTCCTCATAACCCAATATTATCCTGTAAATGGTTCAAGAATCTTGACAACCAGGTAAAAACAGGTGTTTATTGGATGAAGTTCAATGAGCCATCCTCTGCGCCATTCCAAGTGTTCTGTGACATGACCACCGATGGAGGAGGCTGGACCCTTGTCTACAGYTACACATTTACTCAGTACAGTGCGTTTACATCAGCGTCAAACGCAGTTACCCCAATACCAAACTGGCCTGTCAATTGGTCCCCTAGTGGTTGGGTGCCTCAGTCTACGACAAYCCCGCTCAGCGAGTCTTCTCGTTCGGCCATGAAATTTGCTCTGTGGAAGAAGATTGGTAAAGAGTTTCTCATCAAGTCCAATATAACTAACTGGGTAGCCTGTGTAGAAGRAACSGGAAGTTTTGTGAACTGGGCGGCAGGAAGTGTGACCTGTAGAGTTGTCAAGGCCATTACTTCACCTTGCACAACTGCCKCCCCAAACCAACTTATTCTTYTTCCCTGTGGACCATCATTTAAAAAAGATGAAAAATTCCAATTCCTTCTAGAAGGAAGTTCCASCCCAGACTGCTGGCCTGTCCATGATCCCTGTGGTACTGACCCCTCTTCATCCAATCACAAGACGAATGTTGCTAACCCCAGTGGAGCGGTGTATATCCGATAAATCCTTAGGAACAAAAGCCATGCCAGCGATGTACGTCTTTCTTTTGACCAGTCATAGCCTATCTAACAACTCGTGAATTTTATGGAACCGCCAATATCACCGAACGTACACAATCCCAAGAAAACTGTTCTTTTGAGTAAAGGTTTATCGTTAAAAACTTTGATTTACACGAGTCCCTTGACTCAGTTCCCTTTGTTAGTGTTCTTTGTTCCATTCATGTATGAATGTCAGAAGCAACGAGTTCGAATAAATACCCCCGTGCCAATCTACCAAACCCAAGAACTCTACTATAAACACTTAGAATAAAACCATCTATTTTCCAGAGGAAGGACTACTCCCCTTTACGTGTACAATTCCTTTTATAACAATATATGGATATAGTAATACTTGTAAACCGTTTTAATAGTGTTTAATCAAAGCTGCACGTCCTATTTTCTCTCCACGAACAATTTTGTCAAAGATAGAGGCAACTTGTAAATATACGGCGTGGAAATAATGTTATGTAATTTT